GTTTTATATCTTGTACATTTATTTTTCTGGGAGTTTTCAATAAGCAACGATCATCTGAAGGCAATTCCGATGAAACAAAGTCCGCATAAAGCAATGAAAAAGAAATAATAAAATAATGATGTGCATAAATTATATTAATTAATTTATTTATATTATGTATCTGTACTTAACTTGTCTTCTGCGAGATCCTGTGAGATGCCCATCACATATACGCGTGACTGTAAACATCATCGCATGCACGAAAAACTTCATCCATCTAACAACACTGACTGGGAATTGAAAAACATAAAAAGAAAAATCGCGTGAAACTTTGACGTCCAAGACTAGACGTCCAATGGACGTTCAAATATTGGCCACTAATGGATGTCTCAAATCGGAGATACGATGGACGTGCGGATATAAAATGGACATAAAATCAACGTCCATAAAATGTCCTGTGCTATCTGGGTTGTAGTTCTTGTGTCTCTGATCAAAAGTCTTAAGTTAAGTTAACAGAAAACTTTTATGGCCAGTTTCTGAACGGGTGTACAAAAAGTGAATATCTTTTTCGAAAATGCGCATTTTTTGAAATATTAAGGGATTCCGACACTTTCTGTACATACGTGAACTGGCCATATAAGTTTCCTGTTTTGATTAGAGACACAAGAACTACAACATATCACAAATTCAAACAAATTAATTAAAAATGTTTTTCTCATAAGAATCGTGCGTGATCTTTTCTTGAAGATTGTTCTTAGCGGATTCTTGATTTTTCTTTTATAATTAATAATTAGTAACATACACAGTGAGATTAGTAGGCCATCTATTCTCGTGGTAGACTTACAATTGAGATATAGGAATCGTTGAAGAAATCAATCGTAAAAGAGTAGGGATGTCCGAAGAAAAGGGGAAACAGTTTAAACCAGGCCTGGCCCCATAGACATAGTATATCTAGACCGAGTGTTGAGGAGTGGAGGCCAAGGTGCACGTAGAAAAGGATATACTCTGTAGTAATCGAACCGTTTCAATATTTTAATTTCTCTATTTATTTTTCTATATATTCCTGTAGTTCTTATGGCAATCATCGAATCAGTTTGTTTTTTATGAGTAATAAAAGAGAGTAAAAATATAAGAAAAGAAGTAACATAAAATCATATCGAGTGTATCATACATATACAAGTGTGCGTGACGATAGTCCCTCTTAATAATCAACAATTAATAATAACAAATATTTTGATATACACATAATAATAACAAATAATGATATACACATGGATCGCATTCTCATAGATTATATTTGCTAAAAGTCGCATAAAATCGTGAAAATTCATAGGATTCAAGAAAGTATAGCGGAAAGATCGTAATCCGGGGTGGGAGAATCTTCCCAGCAAACACAGTTATATCAATGTTATATAACTGCAATATAAATTTTTATAACAGATAATATTGCATGAAAGTTATTTATACGTTACTGGTACGTTACTATTCCCCACTTATATATGTAACATGTAATATAACATGTTCTATTGTGGTTATATATGAGCATCAATTCTTGTTATATAACTGTAAAGTAACTGTATAATATTTATATAACTATAATTAATTATATATATGTTATATACTTTATGTAGTTAATATATATACACTATGTATATTTATACTTATATACTATAATGATATAATCTATTAGTTTAAAGCATACAAAAAAATGTTTTTTGCGATTCTTTTTTCAAGCTTCTCTTTGAAAAAATCTTCTTTGGTAAAAAATCTTATAGTTGATTTTAGCCTTCCAAATTGTTGATTTCTCTATGAAACCTTTGTTTGCCAAAACGGAATCATTCCGCTACAAAATCATCTATTTCTCTTTCTGTTAATGTATGTTGCTCTCAAATTATTTCTGTAAAAAAATATATAATTTAATGTACATATTTAATAAACACGCGTGTAATAAATATTGACAATAAAGATGCTACCTTTCATAATACCAATGAGTCAGTTTTGCCACGCCGAAATTTTGTCGACGTCCTTTCCATGAACATTTAATAGAGCATTCATTTGAAAATATGCGTGATAATACATTCCGTATTGTCTCTCTTGGTGAATGGCCACCAATTTTTAGAATAAATGTTCTCTGAAATTAATAAATGAGGTAAAAATATTATAAAATAATATATTTAATTTTTTTACTTACATATTCCTTTAAAAGGGATTCTTCTTGTAATAATACTTCTATTGTTTTAATTTCGTCAATGGATTTTAATGGCAACATATTTTTTACACGCTCTGTTGAAACATTGAATCGCATGTTTGGCGTAAGTTTATTAATATGCTGCAATATGTCTTTTATTTGCAATTCGAATGACGCACACATTCTTATTAATGTTTCTGTATTTGCTGTAAATGAAGTATTGTGATTTAAATTGTATTTCTTTACAACTTTTACATAAATAATATAAATTACTATATAATATAAAATATAAAAATACTATGTAATATGAAAACCTCTAATGTCTCGAACACACTTGGTCAGCTCTTTATTATTATGACTGTTGTCATAAAATGGATTATAAACTTCAGACTGATTTTCTTCTGCATTGAAAGGTTGATGTATGGGGTAAAGGTTGATGCTCAGATATATTATCATGCTTACGATTAGTGCAAGTTTCATCAGTAAGTGCTGGAAAAAATATAGAATTGTTTTACATGTGTTTTATTATATGTGCCTTTTTTACTTATACGTAATAAATACTCACTATTTTCAAAAATAATTATTCCATCTGTAGGCACAAGGCAAGTATTCTCATTTTTTGAGTTAATTATAGAAGATGGCCACTCTGGTAATTTATTTGTAATGTGGCTTTCAATTGCTACATTATTATTATTTTCTTGAGTATTAATAGTATCCACATGTAAATCTTTGTTAGACTTTCTCTTATAGCTTCCTTGTATAGATTGTACATTAACAGAGTTGATTGCTTTTTTCTTATTATTATTATCGTTATTTCTTTCATCATCTGACAATGAATCAGTATCGTCAGGACTGATATAGCGACTTGGAGGAATTTTCTTTCGATATCCTTTTCCCAACTGTAAATCCTCTGCGGAGGTATAATTCTCATCTTCTGCGATTTTACGTGCCTTTTCAAATGTTTCTAAAACAAATAAATGCGAATATTATATGTATATTAAAAAATATATTTATATATAAAATATTCTTACCGCAATATTTTTCTACGCTTATTTGAAGTAGCATCCAAGTTTTTATATTAGGTTCTGCACGTTTCATTATAAGTGATTTTGTATTCTTTGTATTTGGTGGCGGCCACCAACACATGTACTTATTTCCATCTTTATGTAACCAGTTTGTTGGAATCTCTGATGTAAGATCATCATCAATAAAATAAACTATACCGCATAAGCCATGTTCTAAAATAAAAAAATTAACATATATAATAAACTTTGATAATTAAAATAACAAAAATTATATTATACAAGTTAATAATTTTGACTTTTTCTTTTTGTAATTATATTATTAATAATAAAATTTATATATTGTTATGTAAAGAAATTAAACTATAATAATATAAGAGATTAAATTAATTTTTTTATCGTAAACATTAAATATATGTTTTTTATCCTAAATATAAAATATATTTAATAGTTAAAGATCTTTAAATTCACCGAAATAATAATTTTAGTAAAAAATCTAAAATAGACAAATATAAATTATTCGCATTTAAATAGTAACGTTTTGTGTTTATGTATAATAGAATAATAAATAGCAGAACTTAATATTTATAAGAAAAAGCATATTGACTTTGTTTGCATTAAAATTATTATAATTAAGAATAAATAAATAAGTACACAAATTTATCTGTTATAGATAATAATTATTTTATTGTTGTTTAGTTATTTAATTGTGATGAATTAATGGTACAATTACAGGTTTTTCACATCCAAAATATGTTAATTTTAAACATTTTTTTTTTATTTCAGAAATTGGAACAGTAATATTTTTAAAATGTTCATCTATTACAGAAATCTGCAAATTTAATGAATTACAAGGTCGTAGAAATAATGGTTCAATTTTAGTACATTGATCACCAACAATATATAATATCTTCTTTGAAAGAATAATTTCTTTTACAATAAAAATAGAATTATCTTTCAATAAACAACAATTGTTCAGATTTTTTTTTTAAATAAAACATTCTTTTAATTCTATAAAATTAATTTTTCCTGATTTCGAATAATGAACACGTGGATATAATTTTATAGACTCTTTTATAATCGAAAGTTGATTTTCTTCACTTTTTCTATTAATTAATTGTTCCAGAGGTTTTCCTGATTTTTGAAATTTTCTCCTTATATTTCGTAAATAATTTTCAAATTGAAAACAACTAAATTTATCTAAAGAGCCAAAAGTTTTAACATTATTTGCTAAATGTAATAAATTGTGAACATTATATGACATGTATTCTCGGCCGTACAGATTTTTATAATTATCTACAAAATAAACTAACAAATTATGCGCATAATTATTCATTTTTATACATAACTGAGAATCACACAAAATCCTTATAGCAATACTAAGCGTAAGAAAATGAGTATAATATTCGTTAGACATTGTTGATTTTAAAATAACAGGTCCTATATATAATAAAAATAAACGAAATTCAGTTGCTTTCCATCTGTCTAGTTCACTTAAACTTCGTGGTAATCGTGCAAATTCTGATGGAATTGAAGATCTTACTACTGATAATGTATTACATATATATTTTTGGTGTTCCGTATTTAAACGAATATTCTTTGAACCTTTTATCCAGAATAAGAGAAGTCGTTTCATTATTCCTAAACAAACAAGGTGCATATAATCTAATGCAATTTGATTGACCATATCAATTCCTAATTTTTCTAAAAAAGATACACCTGTATGATGTTCTTCTTGTTCTTTGGTACGAAATGATTCATTAGTCCTCAATGTAAATTTTAATTCCGGAAAAATGACAGAATTGACGTATTCTTCTTCTTGAGTGCATTTATGACAACTAAAATAACTAAAATGGCTTTTTGTATATGTTATAAAAGCTCTTGCAGGAGCATCACAAACAATGCCTGCAATCGATACTTTACATATCTTACCATTATACAAAACGCCATTTCTATGAATCTCTATCATCTCATTTATGAAATAACTTAAATAAGTATTTGCATTTTTTGGCTTCGACAAGCCATGATATACACCAACGGGAAAAGGTTCTGTACGAATATCCGTATACATATATTGATACTAAAATAGGCCAGAACTGGCTACCAGAACTTTTTGATAACGACATTCCATCACAATTAATTAATAATTTAATATAATCTGGACATTCTTTAAAATATCTTTCCATTGAACGTTGCAAGCCGTTAAAAAGTCTGAAATGTACATAAGAACTATTATCCATTTTTTCAATCTGTTGCGAAGCTTTCCTCTGTGTCTGCATTAACGTTCGAATGTCCTTAGGTAGCGAATTATGACCATAATCACGAAGTATTTTTAATAAGGCATTACCAGATTTATGAGGTATTTGTTCTTCAATAATCCACGATCGTAATTTACTACTTAAATTTTGTGAAGTACTATTTTTATCATCATAATTAAAGTCATTTTCATTTTCTGAAAAACTTGAATTTGAAGAAATAGTATGCTGTTCAGCATTAAGCAATGGATTTTCTCGATAACAATAATTCTCTTCTGTATTCGGTGGAGATTCGAGGAAAACATATTCCGAAAATACATGAGTTGATTTTTCATTATTTGATTTCTCCTTTGGACATGAAATTAATGTAGATTGATTTACGCTATCACACACACATTTTATAGAATTCTTGTAATAATTTATTCTTGAACGCATTAGTTGATTTTTTCTCCGCTTTGTCAAAAAACATATGTCTTTCGACATTTCTTCTAAATATGTGACTCTAAACAATCAATATCATGGAATAAATATTAAAAATTTACAATCAATATATCGTACAAAAAATACTATGTCAAACTCGAATATGCTATATTTATATTAAATAAAATGTAATTTAACTTAATAAAAGCTAATAACGTTACTCATTTTTACAAATGATTTTGCCATACATATCAAAGAATTTATCAAATTAGGATTAAAAATTTGACTGTATCATTAATTGCTATACTTATTGTGTGTGTATATAAATATAAGTAGATTTGAAAAAAATAAAGAAATAATTGTTGTACTTACATTAAAAAGTGTGTCTGAACTATCGGATAACTGTGGAACGCACACTTTACACAAGTAATGCGCGTAGCGCTCTGCGCATCACATGTACGCGGTTCACGCTTGTGTGCGTTATCCCTGCTCACTGCCGAGCCGATGAGCCGCGACTTGGACCCAGACCCGATAATCCCGGGATCTCGTCCGTTGTCTCGGCCGGCGCGGCGCCATGGGCGATGGGTTCACGCTGCTTCCTACCTTCATTTTTATGCGGTCGGGAAGACGCTAATATAGAGATGCTTCGAAGTGTTTGAGACCAATCAGGATAAAAAGAATTAAAGATTTCTTTATCCTGATTAGTTATTTATGCAATGTTTCAATAATAGCGTTTTCCCGCAGCCTTTTAGTGTGGTACCAAAACTCATTTTTGTAATCACAAAATTATATGATTGATTTAATAATTGTATTTATTTACCGTATTTAACTTAATTTTTTAAAATTAATATTTTTAAAATAAAATATTATTATAAATAAAATATATTAGATAATCATGCAATATATATATATAATTATATTTAAAATTATCTTACATATATAAATCTCTCTTTTTTGGAGAGATTATTTAACTTTATGCACGCGTTATGATCTTTCTAAAATGTAAATTGATTCCGTTTCCAGCAGCCGTGAAAGTTGATCGTGGATCCAGAAAACTCTCGTTTTCTTTGGTTTGCCACATCTCGTAATCGCGCAGAAGCAACGCCAAAACAACTTTAGCGTGCAACTGGCCTACTTTCATTCCTGTGAATCAATAAAAGATCGATTTTAATGCTAAAACGATTATAAAATCATAATAATTTTCGTGTCTTATCAGATAGAAGATATCGAACCAAAATTCAACTGAGTGTCCCTTATTTAATTTTCTCTTTAAAAAATCCCATAAAAAATAAGAAAAAAAATTTTGAAAGAAACAACATGTCATTATACTAAAATAATTATAAAATATCCAAGCTTATATATTTTTCTTGAAAATAACACAATCAATTGATCATGTATGTTCAAATTTTTTTTATTCCTTTATCTTGAATTATCTTTTCATTGGTTATATTTCGATTTAGTAAATGAATCTGTTGTATGTGTTATATAATTAGTCCGATTGAGTGACGCTTTTACTTATCTAAAATAATTAATCATGAGCATGTATTTTTTATCAATCGCAATGACGATAGCAGATTATATTTATCAAGAAAATAATACATATTTATATGTTTCAATATCAACTTTGATAACATTTTAATGACTCGTTGGTTTTTTTTCAGTTTTTATTATTAATATTATTATATATATATATATATAATTCATGGTGTAACACAAACTTTACGTCAATTAGTAGCAAATCTTGTTATACACGCTATAATAGCAAATTTACGACAAGAACAGAGCAAACCTTATTGTACACGATATGATAACACATTTACGGAAAGAACAGAGCAAAGTATAGTCTGGCACAACGAGACGCAAAATTCACAGCCACAAATTTGCTGTCATGCCGTGCACGGCAAGATTTGCTCTATTATTTGCGCAAAATGTGCATCACACTATTGCGACAACCCAGTGAGCAATATGTTATCAAAAGAAATTCATAAAGTACTCAAGTTTAAGAGTCGGAAACATTCCGAAAACACCATCAAAATGATAATTATTATGATATCAATAAGTCCTCTAATGCGTCGATATTAGAGGAAAGAAAGACATCATAAGTCCTGTATTTGCTACATTTGTGCATCATGCGATTGATCAATCGGTGAATTAAAAAATGCTCTTTACATTTTTTGAAAACATAACCCAACTTCTTAGGTTGAATATAGAAATAACAAAAATATATATGAAAATATTAATCTATTTTATGGTGAAATACATATTTAATAATATTTATAATTTAAGAAAGAAAGATTATCTTAAAAACGTTAATATTGAAGAAATGCTATCTCTTTGAAATCCAGAGCACGCAGTGGCACGCCGTTCACACTAGAACACAGGGTCTCTAGTTCACATGTACGGTACGTTGCTTGCGCATGTGTGTGGCTTTCGAAATATTGGTTTTTATATTATTAAAATATTTTTTAAATTTCTTTGTATATTATTTTTGATCTTTTGCAAGAAAGTATATATTTTTAGGATAAATTATACTCTACATTATCATACCTATGCACATCCTGGGACCAATTCCGAACGGCATGTAGGCGTCAGTGATATGATTATTTTCGATGAATCTATCGGGATTGTATACTTCGGGTTCATCCCAGAACCTGGGATCTGCCCCAAGTCCGTATAAAGAGATGTATATCGGCGTACCTTTCTCGATAACGATATCGGTGTTAGGAATCTGGAATTTTATATTTTTATGAATATTTAATTATACTCATTAATGGGCGACGCATTTAATTTTTATGAGTAAATTTTATAAGGAACAAAACTACTTTAGTTATAGATAATTTTCCGTTCAATTTTTCAATATATCCAAAATCTTACAAATTTCTTATATAAAAGATTATCATATTGTTTAAAAACTTCTCATATTCTTCAAAAATATTAGAACGCTTAAGAACTCTTTGAGAACTCTTCATCCGATGTTATTCAAATTATGATATATTCCGGATCGGATTAAATATCTTGCGAAATCACAATCAGACTTTTGAAATTTTTATAATCAGCTTTCAGGTTTACCTTGTAATCTTTACGAGTGTATCTGTCGATTGTGGACACGGGCGGATGTAGTCTTAGACTCTCGGCTATTGTCTGATCGAGATACTTCATATCCTGGAACGCTTCGTATGTCCAGCCGTGCTTGTCAATTGCCCGGTTAATATCCTGCCTGGCCAGCTCCTGATACTTGGAATGTTTCGCCAGTTCCAATAGAGTGAAGGACATGCAGGTAGAACTCGACTCAAAGCCAGAGAAGAAAGTACCGGACTGGTACAGTAAATTTTCACCCTCGAATTCTGTGGTAAATATTTAGTCTATATTATTTCTTATTACTCATTATTTTCATTATCACATTTACACGACTACTTTATTAATGAACATTATTAATGAACTTTATTAATGAACTTTAATATTATAAACGTTATATAAATATCATATATAAATATCATATATAAAAATATTATACGAAGAATTAAGATATGTCATGTAAGAATATATTAAAAGGTGGAGATGATAAATCACATCAAATATTACAATAGAAAATTAATAATAATAATAAAATATTGTTAAAATTATAAATCCCAGAGTTATCAAACAATATAAAAAGTACATCGATTACATCGATGCAGTTTTGACTTTTTTATAATAAGATCTTCGAATATTTTCAGATAAAAATGTGGTAATAAAATAAATCACAATTCAAAGCTACTTACTATAATCAGGATTCTGCTTGTCATGTTTTAACTGGAGAAGCGAGTCGATAAAATCGCCTCGTTTCTCCCCGGTTTTTTCACGATTTTCCATAGCGTTCCAGAAGACTTTTGTTACAAATGAGGAGTTTGCAAGAATTCTCGTACCAATTAATTCTATCAGTTCAGGCATGAAGAACACCGTAACAAGAGCGACCATTCTCCTGAATCCGTGGAAGAATTCGTAAACTAAAACCATTCTCGAGTTATTACAAATAAATGGATGTTCAGAATTTTTCATCGTTATTAGAATTTCAATCGGTGACATTTGATGACATAGATGTCAAAGTAAAAATGGATCAAATAAATAATAATTTTTTAAAAATTTGTTAAGTCAATTAGTTTAGTTTTTTAAAGTTTTAAAACATTGTGTATATTTTTTACTTTCTTTATTCATTAAGATTAAATTATAAATTTAAATAAATTATATATATATATCATAAATTTTTTTGTATCCACAACATAATGTTTTTTAATAGAATTTCCATTTTTTTTCGTAGCATCATATAACTGACAATGTTATGATAGAAATTTTTTTTATACTTATAAAAACAATTTCTATAGTACGTATCACATGGTAAACAATATTACCTTTACTTGATTTGGTCCGCTTTTGCTCTCTATTAACTAGATTTTATTAACATAATATATATTGTTAAATTCAAAGGAAGTACCTTCAGTTGAGAATTCCACATTCGGATAGTGGAAGGTGTCCATCTTGGTACCGAGTGCAATCGAGGCGATCAAATCGGTCGCATACTTGTAACTGAGCTCTTGGGCATCCACCAGTTTCACGCTGTCGTGATCTGCTGGATAATGTTTGAGATAATCCATCATTGAATCTCCGATCTCCATCATCAGCGGGAACATCTGTTTTAGCTTGGTTGTGGTTAACGTGGGCGTGATCTTGGTTCGCACGTATTTCCAGATCGGATTCTTCAGACCAAACAGATTCTTCATGCCGATACTGTCCCTTTGTTTGGAACCGGCAAAATGGCGATCGCAGAAATTATGAAAATCGCGGATCATAAATTGCTTTATAATGTCCGGATCGCGCAATAACAGGCACGGTTTGTGGAAAATGTAGAAGCCGATGAAGGGCGCGTTTGTACGGGCTGCTTTATACAGCTGACCGATGTGCCATCCTGGTGCAGTACGAAAGAGCACGGCATTTTTGAAATTGCCGAAGATTGGATGGGTCGTGAGAGATTCAACGCCGCGTTGTTTCCAATAGCTTAATTTATATCTGAGCGATAGAGAGTAATAATAGAGTATAAATATATATTTTATAAGCACTGAATATATATATAAATGTGAAAATGAAGTGATAAAAATTATTTAATCTAAATTTTGCAATAAAAATATTTATAAATGCAAGCGCTAATAAATATAATTGGAGATTTAATAGGTCTCGGAATAAGATTCGATATAGCTACAATTATTAAATACATATTTAACTAATAAATAAAAATTAATTAATTGAATTAAAAAAAGTTAACAACTATTATTTTAATTCCTAATTTTACCATATTTTTCCTTATACTAACCTGGTGTATATCCAGAATAGTAATATTATTATGACAATCAATGTAAAACTGATCAGCATGATGTATTTGTATCAATATTTTACGCTGAAAGGACAATATTAAATATAATAGAGAATATATAATAGAGAAAGGTATGTATATAAATAAATAAATAAATAATATAACTAAATGTATGTGTATATATGTAATTACGCCATACGCCCAGCATTAGTATTCCCAGTGAGCATTATTGAGAGGATGAGCTCTTTAAGAGGACTTTTTAAAGACGTAATTAAATTTTCTTAGAAATGATATCAGTAAGTTATCTTTTTTAAGATATCTTTCAGAAGAGCTCTTTACGATATCTCTTCATAGATATCTCTAAAGTCTCTAGCAAGCGTGTCATTTAAGACAGTGCTCGGATTTAGTTGCACATTTCGGCCCGATTCCGTGGCTCGCGCCTATTGCCCCCCACTCGCCGCTCGTGCGTTAGCGACGATTCGCCAGATACGCGTAACTAAGGAACGCAATGTTTTGTCTCAGGAGCGTCCGTATATAAGAATGCCCAAATATAATAATAAGTGAGTACTCAGCTTTTGAAGAATTCAAGCTACAATTGTAATTACATATTTGTAAAAATTTATATTTATAGCTATAATCCTACAATTATTTGCTATATGGGTGCTTTATTATATGATTGCAATTTTCTATTAATTTTTTGTACAGTATATAATATACTGAAAATAATAAAGAAGCTGATTTATTATTAGCAGAGAAAAAACAACACATAAAATGTGTATGTAAATCTAAAAAGATATTAAGAAAGTTTTTATCAATGTACATTTCTAAAGAGAAAGTATTTTTATGTATTATATGTAGATAGAGAGAGAGAGAGAGAGAGAGAGAGAGAGATATATATATATTTAAATAATTACGATTAATGTAATCTTTCTTATATTAATCTTTATTAAAATTATTAATATTGTTGTCATTAAATTAAAACTATTATAAAGATGATAGATATATAATTACATTACAAATTAATTTTTTATTGTAATTTTTAAAAAGTATAATAGTAATAAACATATTATTTAAAAACATATATTCATAAAACAATATATTATATATATATTTATATACACATATATGTAAGATATATAATTAATCTATATAAATTTTTTTAAATTAGAGAAGAGACGAAGAACCAAAAGCAAAGACAGATAAAGGGAGAGAGAGAGAGTGAGAGAAAGAGAGAGAGAGAGAGAGATAGAGAGAAAGAGAGAAAGGAAGAGAAAAGGAAGAAGAAAGAATTAAATATCAGGTAAGAATAATTAACATTTTGTTTGATATTATGCACGGTAATGTATATAGTGTCATGTTGAAGTTAACTTTTTCTTAATTTTGATGCATATAAATAACATTTATTCAGAAAAATAATTACTTATATATTTAGAAAAATAATTATTTATATATATTAGGTTTGATTTTCGAGTTTGAGTTCTTTATTGGATGCGAAATTGAAATAAAAATTAAACTTTTCAAAAAAGTATAAACAAAAGGTAAAGTAACTTAATTTTATTATTTTCTAATTTTGAATTTTTTATTTTTATTCTTAATATCTTTATATTTTATACATTACATTATTTTTATAAATTAAAAATGTCATTTGCAAAAATTTTAGAAAGTTATCCGTGAGTCAGAAAAATATAAGGCTTCTTAAAGCTTATAAATTTTTACAAAATATTGAAATAAGTGATGATAATGTAGAAGAAGATGATCAAATGTGTTCAAGTGACAGTGTCAAATGTGAAATAATGCATTCTGAAAATTATATAGATGAAAGTATTGATATCAGTAATAACAATAACAGTGACAATAACAGTGACAATAATAGTGAAAAAAGCTATTGCATTTAAGATGAATTGAATGATATAACAGATGATAATATAGCACTAAATAAAACTTTAAATTTTAAAGAACAACTGAAACAATGGGTGTGCGAATATAATATTACTCATCGAGCTACTGGAACATTATTAAAGTTATTGAAAAATGTTGATGATATTAATGAATTACAAGATCTTCCACTTGATCCCAGAACATTACTTGAAACTCCTAAGCACATTGTTATTCGTGAAGTCCCTCCTGGGAAATATTTTCCTTATGGATTAAAAAATGCTTTGATAAATATTCTAAAAACTGTACGTTTAAGTACAGTATCTAAAAACATAGAAATAAATATTAATATCGATGGCTTACCTCTAACAAAAAGCTCAAAAAGCCAATTTTATCCAATATTAGGAGAAATATATCCAAAAATTTTTGAACCATTTGTTATTGGAATATATCATGGATACAATAAACTTGCTTGTCCTAATGAATTTCTAAAAGATTTTATCGAAGATTATATTTTATTACACGAAAAAGGATTTGAGTTTAATGAAATACACTTTACAGTTGCAATTCGATGTGTAATTTGTGATGCTCCAGCTCGATCATTTGTAAAGTGTGTCAAAGGATTTAATGGATATTTTGGTTGTTCAAAGTGCATGCAAGAAGGTGATTATAATAACCATCGAATGCTTTTCCCTGAAATAAATGCAAAATTGAGAACAGATGAAAATTTTATTAATTAAGAAAATGAAGAGCATCATATTAGAAGATCAATTTTTGAGAGAATAAATTTGGGAATGGTAAGCCAATTTCCATTATCATCGTGGTTGATATTAATATCTAAAGCTTTTAAATGGCCACCGAAAAACGCTAGTTTTGAGTCTAGAAAGAACTCGTTACCTAATAATGATTGGGAGGTTATTAACTATAAAAAATTATTAGGACCTTTTGGTAAATATATATTCAGATATATTATTTTTAATATATATTAAAGTATAAATTGCTCATTTAATTTAATCTTTTCTAACACTTTACAGTTGCAATTCGATGTGTAATTTGTGATGCTCCAGCTCGATCATTTGTAAAGTGTGTCAAAGGATTTAATGGATATTTTGGTTGTTCAAAGTGCATGCAAGAAGGTGATTATAATAACCATCGAATGCTTTTCCCTGAAATAAATGCAAAATTGAGAACAGATGAAAATTTTATTAATTAAGAAAATGAAGAGCATCATATTAGAAGATCAATTTTTGAGAGAATAAATTTGGGAATGGTAAGCCAATTTCCATTAGATTATATGCACTTAGTTTGCTTGGGAGTTGTAAAAAAAATGCTTCAAACTTTTATACATGGAAGAATCAAAGCAATAAAATTTAATTCTACAGTTATACAGGAAATTTCAGAAGTTTTGTGTAATATATCTACATGGATACCAAATGATTTTGCACGGAAGACACGTAGTTTAGAAGAGTTAGACCGTTGGAAAGCAACGGAATTAAGATTATTTCTATTATATGTAGGACCAGTTATACTTCAAAATTACTTGCCTCAAAATTATTTGTTGCATTTTAATTCTTTACATTGTGCTATTAGAATATTGTGCCATGAAAGTGATTGTATTAATAATAATGAGTATGCTAAGGATTTATTAGTTTATTTTGTTGAAACTTCAAAAATATTGTATGGAAAAGATTTTATTATTTCTAATGTTCATAATTTAATTCATATATCTGATGATGTAATAAAATTCGGACATTTAGATTCATTTAGTAGTTTTACTTTCGAAAATTTTTTATATGAAATTAAAAAACAATTGAAAAAAGGAGAAAAACCTCTCGAACAGTTACATAATAGAATAGTGGAACGTGTTAAAAATAAAAAAACTCGACATGAATATTTTTCAAAACCTCAAGTAGCTCATTATAATTCTAAAAAATCTAATGGAACGAGATTAGCATATGATTACATTTTTTATAAAATATTCAAATTGTCACTAAAAAAAGAGTCTGATAGTTTTTGTTATTTAAAAAGTAATGATATTTTTCATATTAAAAATATTTATAAGTATAATAAAGAATCTATTATGCAAGGAAAAATATTAATAAATCTATGTAATCTTCCACATTATCCCGTCAATTCTGAGTTATTTAACATAAGTGTTGGAAATGAATGGTCCAAATTAAAAAATTTTTCAATTGATGAAATAAATATGAAGGCAATTTGTATTCCATACAAGAATTCTTTTTGTTTCTTTCCCATAATTCATTTATGTGTATAAAATAATATAAAATTATGTCAAATTGTGTCTTAAATGTGTACATATAATCCATAATAAACTAAGAATTTATTTTGTCTAACTAAAAATAAATTTTGTTTAACTTATTTCTCTTACATAATCCCATTATTAACATTTTTTACTTTTTTTATTTATTTAGCTTTTACATTTTAAATATCTCTATGCTCCATATATTTATTAATATAATTTTATTTTATTTTTTCCAGTTTTATGTCTTGCTTAACATAGAATTTTACATTTTAAATATGTTAACAATCTTCTAGACATACATTTTTTTAATAATATTTTATAGTCTTGATCAATAGAGGATATACATAGTAAATATATAAATTTGAACTAATTTACATCATATTTTGATCATGATTTGATCTATATGACGTTAAATTAACATTACTTTGACTTCGTGTTCTATCTAAATATTTTGTAAAAAGTTCATAGCAGAAACGTTTTAAGGCTCCTAAGGAATGTACTTTGTCGTATTGTGGGATGAATGGTCTGCGACCATACTATCATCGTGGTTGATATTAATATCTAAAGCTTTTAAATGGCCACCGAAAAACGCTAGTTTTGAGTCTAGAAAGAACTCGTTACCTAATAATGATTGGGAGGTTATTAACTATAAAAAATTATTAGGACCTTTTGGTAAATATATATTCAGATATATTATTTTTAATATATATTAAAGTATAAATTGCTCATTTAATTTAATCTTTTCTAGATACCTACAAGAAAGCTAGAGAATTTGAAATAGAAATTACAAATATTTCTACGAATGATGAAGAAACATTGTCAACTATAAAAGAAAAAATGTATAATAAAGCATCTTTACAAAAAAAACAAATTAATAAACCATCTCGTTACTGTTCATCTTCCGAGGAGGAAAAAGAAAATGAAAATTTAGGTAATCATTAAATTTTTTGTTTCTACTGCAAACAATTGTATCATTTTCAATATTTATATATTACATATGTATTTTTTTATATAGATAATATAGCTGAAAAGAAAATTAATAAATTATTAATGTACCGTGAAAATGATACATCTACTAAAATTAATGAACTAAAAGAGCTATGTAAGTATTGATATACAAATATATTAAAAACATTCAACATATTGATTTACAAATATATTAAGAATATTAATATTAAAATAAAATAGATATTCCAAAACCTCCTATGACCTATAAACCAATGAAAAAAGTTGTTGAAACAAGCTCTGCTCAACATTGTGATATTAATTATTATTTTCCTTTATTATTTGATTGAAGGCTGCTCAATTTAATATATTGTGTTTCACAAATATTTATGTAAATGCGTACTTTATTTTTTAACGTCAAGCAGCATGTTCGCATACTCAAATTTAGTTTTTGTAATAACGATTTATATCGTTTACTTTACATTTTTTCATAAAGATATACTTACATTTTTTTTATAAAGATAAAATTGAAATTTTTTTAGCAATAGTAAAATATATATATATATATTTATATATATGTATATGCTTATATTTGTTTTTCTTTCATGCAATATTATAAATTTTTTTTCATTTTAAATAGAATAAAGCATTTCATTGTCAATAATAATCTATGTGCAATTATATGGCAAATTTTTTATTTAATTATCAAATTGATTGTATTATAAAAAGTTATTTTTATTATACAAAAATTTAGCAAATGTTGTATTTTGCAAAGTTCTAATAAAATGTTATGAAAAAATGTATACTAAGAGTTATATTTTTTTTTAAATAAAAAAATGTAAAGGGCGTTTTCTAATTCATCGATTGATCAATCGCATGATACACAAATGTAGCAAATCCAGGACTTTGCTGTACTTGCGCATCATGCGATTTATCAATTGATGAATTAAAAAACTCGCTCCAAAAAATCTAATACTACAAATAGAACGGTTCTTAACGGTGACATTTTTTTGATATTTAAAAGAAGTCAGATTGTGGAATTCTTTTAGATGTCAATTATATGATGTTTTTCTTTCCTCTAAAATCGATGCATTGGAGGACTTATTGATATCATAATATTATCATTTTGATGTTTTCGTGTTTTCGTATGGCGTAATTACATATATACACATACATTTAGTTATATTATTTATTTATTTATTTATATACATACCTTTCTCTATCCGTCTCTTTTTCTCCTTCTCTATCTCTTCTCTCTCTCTCTCTCTGTCTCTTTTTTCTTTTCTTTTTTCTTTCGTACACACGTAGAATTGTACATACGAGGGTATTAGCCATATACTGTTCTTGATGTGTGATTGTATGCCTTTTTATACTTTCTATCTTACCCCCACTTATTAAAAAGTTATCTCATTTTATCTTTATATCTAATCGATATCCTAAGGCTACTAGGAAACATCACTCATGCGCACATGAGCGTCGTTCCATCTTTGTAAAGTACATACATAAATAAATATTTTCACTATATAATAAATTAAACACCTGTTATATGAATAACATTAAATAATATTTGTTATTATTATTAATAATAATAATATTATATTTAAGAACGGTTCTTAACGGTGACATTTTTTTGATATTTAAAAGAAGTCAGATTGTGGAATTCTTTTAGATGTCAATTATATGATGTTTTTCTTTCCTCTAAAATCGATGCATTGGAGGACTTATTGATATCATAATATTATCATTTTGATGTTTTCGTGTTTTCGGAAGTCCGACTTTTAAACTTGAGTACTTTATGAATTTCTTTTGATAACATATTGCTCACTGGGTTTAATGTTAAAGACAATTATTGTTAAATTTTAATAATTAATGTGTGTTGAATATATAAATTTATTAATTTTTTTAAGACTTCATCAGAGACACAAGAACTACAATATATTACAAATTCAAGCAAGTTTTTGATTGAAAACGTTTTTCTCATGAAAGTCATGAGAGTCATCATGAGAAAAACGTTTCCAGTCAAAAACTTGTTTGAATTTGTAATATATTGTAGTTCTTGTGTCTCTGATGAATAGTCTTAAAAAAATATTATATTTATAATTATATTATTATTATTAATAATAATAATATTACATTATTATATATTTTTATTTATTATTATTATTTATGTATTTATTGATATTATATAGATAACATCGCGGCATAGATATACAGGAACGTAACAATACATTTAAATAACATGTAATTAATTATGTTACTAAGTGTTTATGTCATATTATATATATATATGAAGTAATATTTGTAACTGCACTTTAGAAAACGTATATTGTATGTTAAAATGAAAAACATCTGTATACAGGGTGTCCGGTAAAGATTGTGCCAACGCTCGCGTGAGCGGGTAGAGCACAGTAAACCGAACAGAGAAGTCCTTTACCATTTTGCGATTTTCGTAATAATTATTGAGAAATTAATTAAAAAAGATCGACCAATTCGCGTGAGTATAAGCGCGCGGCGAAAAAGAATGGCCCGGAGACAACCCAAAAGTTTGTGGTCGCTAAGCGCGCGACGAAGTTTTGGGAGGAGCGCTCTACAAATGACAACGGTTATGTACGAGCAGTACATAATAATGGATTTCCGCGTCCTAGCAACCACACATCAATGGGTTGTCCCTTTTTACTGCGCCATTATACTCACGCGAATTGGTTGATCTTTTTTAATTAATTAATAATAATTTTTCAATAATTGGAAATTACAAGGAATGAATGTATTACATATGTTACAATCCTATGTAATATTACTTGTTATATTCGATTACACTAACAATAAGCTATGTAATCTTTATAACGTAATAGTTATAAAAGTGTATTTGCTGGGCTAATATTAGATCCGGTTTCGATTTCTCTTTTCAAGGCGGACGAAGAAAAAATGTTCTAAAAGTATGGGCATGGGTAAAGAGATGAGATTATCGAGGACGACGGAAAACAAACCTACGGAGAATTAGCTATGCATAAAAATAACGTTTCGAAGATACAGATTACAGATGACATAAAAAAAAAACGTAAATCAAATTTTGACTAGGCTTGCTGAATCATTTGTAACGTTTCTATTGGAGACTTCACAAATTTAACGCAGAATTTAATATTGGCGCGTTGTCAAGCGTTCCTTCCATTACACCGATTTTTAAACAAAATTTTGTAACACGACTTTGCGTAATTGTATCTCATTGACTATTGAATCAAATAATTTAAAACTTGCACCACTTGCACCTTGTATTGAGTATTGAGTTGTGAATAACCCTCTAAAATGGCAGCACAAACAGATCAAACGTTTGGAAATGCGAAGCGAGTCTCGAAACTTAATTGTTCGACCGTGTACATGTATAAAAAAATTGAAATTACAATATATTTGTATGTATCTCACACAATTGAAGGATCTGTACACAAAAGGCACGCATAGCTTTTTTAATATCGTATAAATTATCAATTAGTCTATAAATCATTTATCAATTATTCTCGTCGTTTGATTTAGATTGGTTTAAACAAAGTTAAGAAATAAAAAAACCGTTATTATTTACTTCGTCTTTTATGGAAAGAGACTCACACTTATTGATATTTAATACATATAATTCTCACGAGGCATATACCACGTGTCTGAGAATTCTTCAAAATTACGTTTCACGCCGAGTTTTCTTCAATTGCACCAGACTGTCTCATTCCTTTCGCAATTAGTCACTCTATAATCAACTTTTAGAGATCAACATTCACAGATAAAAATTGTTATTATCAATTAGCATTCTTGACTTGCCTTAGAATTATTTGCGTTTAATGAAAGAAATCGGCTTCAAATTCACGCAAAATCCACGGATGAAAGACACAATGTTAATTGTACGGAAGACGTATCTTGTATATGTAGATATTTATTTTATATCATATTATGCGTATTTTATATCATAGTACGCGCGGGTACGATAATTGCGTGGCGCTCATGAAAATATATAATCGCGCGTTCTGTTCGCTATCGGGGTCAAGGAGAGTCGATGGTAAATAAGCGTGACCGCCTGCCACTTCCTCGTACACGTGTTCAAGGAGAGTCTGTAGTTTTAATATTCATTACGTAAGTGCCGTGTTTGTAAGATCCGGTTGTATAGGATTATTTTTCAACATTTCGCCGCGTCTATACACATGTGAACGCCACAATCCGTGTGTGTAAAAGTATGTATTCGTAATCTCTACGTTTTTATTATCGATTAGCATTTTTGACTAGACTTTAAATTGTTTACGTTTAATCAAAAATCGGCTTCAAATTCACATAGATTCAATCTGGACAGTTTGGATTTAAAAAAAAATACTGTTTCAAAATTCTGTGAATAAATTTATTACGAGATATATCTCAGATAATAATCCGTCAAAGTTTCTTTTCTTTTTCGTTCGGTGATTAGGGCTATCCATATTTTGTGGGATTGATTTAACCGTCCGATGCATTCCTCTATAAATTACTTCGTTTCGGAAGGACTGCTTGTATATGACGTGCGTATCTGTCTATGCTTTACAATAACGTAATCGGGGACGTTTAAATCATCGACATTCCAATTTCCGTCGTCGACACGAACCACTCGATCGAATCGCAATACTGTATATATATTTCGGGAAATCTCTCGGATTGTGCTGACGAAAATTCAACCGCGTTTGAAATTTGTGGAATAATAATTTTTTGCAATAGCATCCGAAACTATTTTAATCTCTCTCGATAACTATATTCAAGATTAATTAACATTTACAATTAATACGGTGATAATTATATCCTAATACATAAGACTTATTCTTTTAATTTCTCGTTATACAATTTTCACTTTATAAAAATGACTTGGAATGATAATCGGAGCTTTATGTTAATGTGCGATATGTGCGATAACAATTATGTAAAACGTTATGAACCATGACACAGATTACATGAGATATGTAAATATATTTTTATTCTCTTCTCTTTCTTTCCAAAACATCAGTGTATACGTTACATAAAAATAATTTAAAAGTAAAAGTAAAATAAAAATTATAAATTTTTATGAAGGTTGCCTTACAATCTTATTAGCTTTACAGTGCGGCACAGATAACTCGGGATTCACAAGTTTTGTATTTCGCTTCGTATATATTATAATTTAATATAAACTTTAAATTGCGATTTTGTCTCGAGATTGATTTTTTAGGCCCGTATAAAGTTAGAAATTCTAAAGTTAGAAATCCGTTAAAGAATATTTTTGATCGGATATTTATAGGTTTCTGTGTTGAAATAAAAAATTTAGAAAACCGTACACGATGATGTTATATGATTATATATAGTTGATTGAACAATTCGGTGATATTTCGACATGTATCATTACGTTCTTTGTTTAACTTTGTAACTTTGTGTCGGCTGCAAAGTTCTTCCTTTCGTCCGGCAATCATGCGGAGGAGGAAAAGCGAGCACGTGTCGAATATTTTATTTATGCATAACGCGTCGCTAGTTTGCGCCTCTCGAAATATCGGACGTTTCCCCTCTCCCAAGTCTTGGAGATTGAGCATCTAGAACTTCCGATAAATAATCGGCGTGACTTATGACTGCGATATGCTTTATCTGCTTCTTAAAGATTTCCGTATAAAAAAATTCAAATCTTTCTCCCGCAATTTGATCAGAAAAATGCGATTAAAGTGTATTAATGAAATAAAGTGAATTTAAAAAAAAAGCTTATTGATAATGTTTTTATAATGTTAATCGTAACGTTTTTACGAGTTCGATTCTGCTATCGAATAAATTATCTTCAAGCGAAACTAAAAGAAAGATAAAATTAAATAAAACAAGAAGAAGTATAAGCAAAAGAGAGGGAGAGAGGCAAAAGGAAAAAAGGTGGAGAATAAATTTAATATCAGATAATAATATTGTTGAGTATTATTAAACATATTGTTAAATATTATTAAGAAATATTATTAAAAATTATTAATATTATCCAATTTATTTAATTTTAAAAGAGAGAGAGGAGAGAAGAAAAAAAGAGCGAAAGCAAAAAAAAGAATACTTCAAGCGAAACTAAAAGAAAGATAAAATTAAATAAAACTAGGAATATAATAAAATTAAATTTAAAATATTGCAGAATTTTAATTAGAGATATTTTATTATTGCTCTAAGAGAAAGAGAGAAATGAAAAGCAAAGGCAAAAAAAGGATAGTTTATTTAAAATTAAAGAAGAGAAAGAATAAGCAAAAGAGAAAGAGAGAGAAAGAGAGAGAGTTAAAATTAAAGAAGAGGAAGTATAAGCAAAAGAGAGGGAGAGAGGCAAAAGGAAAAAAGGTGGAGAATAAATTTAATATCAGATAATAATATTGTTGAGTATTATTAAACATATTGTTAAATATTATTAAGAAATATTATTAAAAATTATTAATATTATCCAATTTATTTAATTTTAAAAGAGAGAGAGGAGAGAAGAAAAAAAGAGCGAAAGCAAAAAAAAGAATACTTAGGCAGTTATATTGGTTTATTTTGTGACGTATATGATTTTGTGTATATGTCGTTAAAAATGTTTAA